AATCAACTATAAGGAAAAAAACTGCGAAAAACAAACACGTGGAGGCTAAACAATATGCTACTTAACAACAAATGGATCACTGAAGAAATAAAAGAAAAATAAAAAAATACCTAGAGACAAATGAAAATGAAAACCTGATGATCCAAAACCTATGGGATGCAGCAAAAGCAGTTTTAGGAAGGAAGTTTATAGTGATACAAGCTTACCTCAGGCAACAAGAAAAATCTCAAATAAACAATCTACCATTATGCTTAAAGCAACCAGAGAAAGAACAAACAAAATCCAAAGTTTGTAGAAGGAAAGAAAGCATAAAAAATCAGAGCAGAAATAAATAAAATAGAGACAAAAAAAAAAAGAAAAAAAATCAATGAAACTAAAAGCTTGTTCTTTGAAAAGACAAACAAAATTGATAAACCTTTAGCCAGCCTCATCAAGAAAAAGAGATGGAGAGCCCAAATCAATAAAACCAGAAATGAAAAAGAAGTTACAACTGATACCACAGAGATGCAAAGGATCATAGAAGACAGCTATGAGCAACTATATGGAAATAAAATGGACAACCTAAAAGAAATGGACAAATTCTTAGAAAGGTACAATCTCCCAAGACTGAACTAGGAAGAAATAGAAAATATGAACAGACCAATTACCAGTACTGAAATTCAATCAGTAATTTAAAAACTCCCAACAGACAAAAGTCTGGGATCTGACGGTTTCATGGGTGAATTCTACCAAACATTTAGAGAATAGTTAACACCTATCCTCAAACTATTCCAAAAATTTGCAGAGGAAGGAACACTTCCAAATACTTCCTGAGACAGTGGTCTCAGGGTGAGACCACTGTCACCCTGATACCAAAACCAGACAAAGATATCACAAAAAAGAAATTACAGGCCAATATCACTGGTGAACAGAGATGCAAAAATCCTCAACAAAATACTAGCAAACTGACTCCAACAATACCTTAAAAGGATCATACACCATGATCAAGTGGGATTTATCCCAGGGGTGCAAGGAGTTTTCAATATCTGCAAATCAATCAGTGTTAACAAACTGAAGAATAAAAAGCATATGATCATCTCAATAGGTGCAGAAAATGCTTATGACAAAGTTCAACACCAATTTATGATAAAAACTCTCCAGAAACTGGGCAAAAAGGGAACCTACCTCAACATAATAAAGGCGACGTATGACAGACCCACAGCTAACATCATATTCAACAGTGAAAAGCTGAAAACTTCCCCTGTAAGATTAGGAACAAGACAAGGATGCCCACTCTCACCACTTTTATTCAACATCGTTTTAGAAGTGCTAGCCACATCAATCAGAGAAGAAAAACAAAGGAGTCCAAATTAGGAAGAGGTAGAACTGTCACTGTTTGCAGATGACATGATAATATAGAGAGTAAATCCTAAAGATGCTACTAGAAAACTACTAGAGCTCATCAATGAATTTAGTAAAGTTGCAGGATTCAAAATTAACATACAGAAATCTGTTGTATTTCTATACACTAACAATGAACTACCAGAAAGAGATACTAAGGAAACATTCCCATTTACCATCACATCAAACAGAATAAAATACCTAGGAATAAACCTATCTAAGGAAGCAAAAGACCTGTACTCTGAAAACTATAAGACACTGACAAAAGAAACTGAAGATGACACAAATGTAAAGATATACCACGTTCTTGGATTGAAAGTATCAATATTGTTAAAATGGCCATACTACAAAAGGCAATCTACAGATTTAATGCAATCTCTATCAAATTACATAACTAGAACAAAAAAATTTTTAATTTGTATAGAAACACAAAAGACCAAAACAAGCTTGAAAAAGAAGAACAAAGTTGGAGGAATCATGCTCCCTGGATTCAGACTATACTACAAAGCTACAGTCATCAAAACAGTATGGTACTGGCACAAAACCAAACACATAGATCAATGAAACAGGATACAATGCCCAGAAATAAACCCACACACTTACAGTCAATCTACGATGAAGGAGGCAAGAATATACAATGGAGAAAAGACAGTCTCTTCAATAAGTGGTGCTGGGAAAACCGGACAGCTACATGTAAAAGAATGAAATTAGAACATTCTCTAACACCATATACAAAAATAAACTCAAAACAGATTAAAGACCTAAATGTAAGACCATATTTTAAAACTCTTGGAGGAAAACATAGGCAGAACACTGTCTAACATAAATAGCAGCAATACTTTTTTTGGATCTGTCCCCTAGGGTAGTGGAAACAAAAGCAAAAATATACAAATGGGACCTCAATAAACTAAAAGCTTTTCCACAGCAAAGGAAACCATAAACAAAATGAAAAGACAACCTACAGAATGGGAGAAAATATTTGCAAATGATGTCACTGACATGGTATTAATTTCCTTAATATGCAGACAGGTTGTAGAGCTCAATATGAAAAAAAAAAAAAGAAACCAATCAAAAAATGGGCAGAAAACCTAAATAGATATTTCTCTGAAGAAGACATACAGATGGCCAATGGGCACATGAAAAGATGTTCAACATTGCTAGTTATTAGAGAAATGCAAATCAAAACTACAATGAAGTAATCACTTCACACTGGTCAGAATGGCATCACCCAAAAGTCTCCAAGTAATAAATGCTGGAGAGGGTGTGGAGAAAAGGAAACCCTCCTGCACTGTTGGTGGGAATGTAAATTGGTGAAGGCACTATGGAGAACAGTATGGAAGTTCGTTAAAAAACTAAAAATGGAGTTAACATATGGTCAAACAATTCCACACCTGGGCATATATCCAGAGAAAACTCTAATTCAAAAAGATACATACACCCCTATGTTCATACCAGCACTATTTACAGTAGTCAAGACATGGAAGCAACCTAAACGTCCATGGATAGATGAATGGATGAAGAAGATGTGGTATGTATATATATACACATATATGTATACACACACGCACACACACACACACACATATACATAATGGAAGATTACTCAGCCATAAAAAAGAATGAAATAATGCCATTTGCAGCAACATGGATGGACTTAGAGATTATCATACTAAATGAGGTCAGACAACAATAAATATTACACGATATCACTTACATGTGGAATCTTAAAAAATAATAGAAATGAACTGATTTACAAAACACAAACAGACTCACAGACACAGAAAACAAACTTACGGTTACCAAATGGGAAAGGGGTGGGGATGGATAAATTAGGAGTTTGAGATTAGCACATACACACTACTATACATAAAATAGATAAGCAACAAGGACCTATTGTATAGCACAGGGAACTATATTCAATATCTTTTAATAACCTGCAATAAAAAAGAATCTGAAGGGCTTCCCTGGTGGCACAGTGGTTGAGAGTCCGCCTGCTGGTGCAGGGGACATGGGTTCGTGACCCGGTCCGGGAGGATCCCACATGCCGAGGAGTGGCTGGGCCCGTGAGTCATGGCCGCTGAGCCTGCGCGTCCGGAGCCTCTGCTCCGCAACGGGAGAGGCCACAACAGTGAGAGGCCCGCGTACCGCAAAAAAAAAAAAAGAATCTGAAAAAGAATATACTATGTATCTATAAATATAGATAACTCAATCACTTTGCTTTACACCTGAATCTAACACACTGTAAATCAGCTATACTTCAATTAAATAACAGCACAAAACTATACTCTGAAGCTATAAAACATTGTTGAAAGAAATGAAAGAAGACATAAATAGAAAGACATCCCATGTTTATAGATCAGAAGACTTAATATTGTTAAGATGGCAATACTCCCCAGATATATAGATTCAACACAATCCCAATCAAAATCCCAGTTGGCTCCTTTGTCAATAAAATTGACAAGCTGATCCTAAAATTCATACGAAAAGCAAGGGACCCAGAAGAGCCAAAAGATCTTGAAAGAGAGGAGTAAATTGAAGGACTCACATTTCTTGATTTCCTTTTGTTTTCTGGCTGCACCACACAGCATGCAGGAATCTTATCTTGGTTCCCTGACCAGGGATTGAACCTACACCCACTGCAGTGGAAGTGTGGAGTCTTAACCACTGGACCACCAGGTAAGTCCCCACATTTGTTGATTTCAAACCTGCAAAGCTAATGAAGACTCATGGTGCTGGCATAAGGACAGATGTTTGGATAAATGGAATAGATAGAGAATCCAGAAATAAATCCTCACATTTATAATCAACTGATTTTTTGACAAGGATGCCAACACAATTCAATGGAGAAATAGTCACTTCAAGAAATGGAACTGGAACAACTGGAGAGCCACATGCAGAAGAATAAAGTTGGGCTCCTACCCCACCATATAAAGAAATTAACTCGAAATGAATCCAAGATTAAATGTAACACCTAGCACTATTTAACTCTTGTAAGAAAAAATAGGAGTAAGCCTTCATGACTTTAGATAAGCATTGGTTTCTCAGATGTAGCACCAATAGCACAAGCAATAACAACAACAAAAATACATACACTGGACATCATCACAATTAAAAATTTTTGTAAATAATGTTTCTAATGAGACTGGTATGTAGAATATATTAAGAACTCATACTCAATAATAAAAAGGAAAATAACCCAATTTTTGAGTGGACAAAGGATCTGAATAGACATTTCTCTGAAGACATACAAATGGCCAATAAGCACACGAAAAGGTGATCAACATCATTAGTCATAAGGGAAAAGCAAATCAAAACCATTATGTCACTTCATATCCACTAAGATGGCTATAATTAAAAAGTCAGATAATAACAAATGCTGGAGACAATGGAGAAACTGGAACCCTCACACACTGCTGGTGTAAATATAAAATGGTACAGCTGCTTTGGAAAACAGTTTAGCAGTTCCTCAAACGGTTAAACATAGAGTTACCATACGACCAGCAATTCCATTCCTAGGTATATACTTAGAAGAAATGAAAATATATACCCACACAAAAACTTGTACACAGATGTTCATAGCAACATTAGTTATGATAGCCAAAAAGAGGAAACAACCCACATGTCCATCAACTAATGAATGGATAAATTCAACATACCATATGCATACAATGGAATATTTCGTAATAAAAAGAAATGAAGGCCTTCCACCTCACCACACTCCTGAAAGCAGGATGGGTCATGAGCAACTCTACTAGAGCTACCTGCAAAAATTCAGCCAAGGTTCCTGATCTCGCCACATCAGCTCAAACCAGCATGGTCTGATCTGGAAATATTACCTCAATATATGCCGCCAGTTTTTCCATCAGTACACAAAAGATATAGGCTTCATCAAGCTGGATAAAACGACACTCCTTGAACGGATTAACCAAGACATACACCCAATAAAAGAAATAATGCTAGTTCTTTGTACATAATTTTTTTTTCAAACTTTAAAAAAGGGAGAGGGATGAAGCACTGTTACATGTTACAATGTGGATGAAGTCTGAAAACATTATTCTAAGTCAAAGTCAGTAACAAGAGATCATATATTGTATGATTCCATTTATATGAAATGTCTGAAATAGGCAAATCAATAGAGACAAAATAGATTAGCAGTTCTAGGGCTGAAGCGGAAAAGGGATTAGAGTTAAGAGGTACAGGGTTTCTTTGGGGGATGATAAAAATGTCCTAAAATCAATTGTGGTGAATTTACTAAAAGCCACTCAACTATGTAAACGGGTGAACTGTATGTGAATTATATCTCAGGAAGGCTATTTTTAAAACACTGGGATAACAGGTAAAGTTTTCCTAACTTTTTCTTTTACCATTTAATAGTAAACTCAAAAAAATCAAGTCACTGAGGAAAAAAAAATTTTCAAAGTGGAATATCTTTAAAACAATATACTCCCAGAAGAAATGATAACTATGTGACATGATAGACATATTAGCTAATGCTACAGTGGTAATTATATTGCAATATAGAAGTAGTGAATCAACATGATGCACACCTTAAACTTACCCAATGTCCTATGTCAATTATATCTCAAATTAAGAAAACAAAAACAAAACCCAATGTGCTTCCAGCTCAGCAGGAATTTCCAGGAAAATGTACCAGGTAGGCCCAGGCAGCAGTGATGGAGCAAGTAGCACCCTTGCGAGATGACCACTTTGCAGAAGACACAATGTCCTAGAATATGTGTCAATAATTTAAGAGATATAATTACAGTTTATCTTTACCACTGCTTCAACCCAATGGCAAGGATCACCCACAACGATGATGGAAATTAATAAGGCATTATTCTAAAAATAAAACACTTTTAAAAGTACAGAGGTTTTTTAAAAAAAATATATAACATATTTTTCCCTCATATATGACCAGTGCTGTCAGTTCTCCTGATGACAGATGTCAAAATCACTAAGGTTTTCTTTGATGAAATGATTTTAAAACATCTGCTAACACAAATGCCTTAAAATAAAACTCCAGTTAATAGACATCCTCTTTTGTCTTGATCCTTTGAAGCTATGACGTTCATTTTGTGTTGAATGGAAAAAAATAGACAATTACTTTGAGCAATCTGAAATAAAACTAAGTTTCTTGATTATTTGTAGGTTTGAAAAGTTGCCTGGGGGTTAAACTATTTAGTCTCAAATTCTGAAGTTTAGAAGACACTTGGGGAGATGATTCTTCCACCTGTTGGAACAACAATAAAAATAAAGTTAATTTTATAAAAATATAGTCAGTCTACCCTGTGTAATTCTATCCCCTGTGACTGCTTCTCAGAAGACATCATACATTTTCCCACCCCGTGGAAGCCTGGAGCAGACCAGAGCCATCAGCTGTCATCCTGCTTTTGCTCACTGTGGTAACGCCACCACCCACTTCCAGGACTGGCATGTAGAAGTGACTGTTTGCTAACTGAGTACATACATTTAATTTCTAAAAGTGTGGACAGGGTCCACTACATAATTTGGCAGTGCAAAATTAGAATGTGGGCCCCTTGTTCAGAAATTAAGAATTTCAAGATGACAAGCAGAGGACATTAAAACAAGCATGGGTTCCTTCTAAGCACGAAGCCCTGTGTGACTGACTGCCCGGTCCACGACGCCAGCTGTAGGTGTGGTTAAGACGATACACTGCAAGTACACCTCAAGTATACTCTTGGTACTGTTAGTGATTCCCAAGCACCAGTCAGTGGACCAGTACGGTCATGAAGAAGATTCACCACCACAGGGAAAGAGAAAAATTAGCAAAATTCAACTCATCATTCATCATGCTAAATCTGTTCAATTTAGAGGACGGTGATGGTTAATTTCGTGTGTTAACTTGGCTAAGCCACAGTACCCCGATATTTGGTTGAATAATACTGTTCTAGACGTTTCTTTGAAGGTACTTTTTAGATGAGATCAACGTTTAAATCAGCCGACTGAGTAAAGTGGATTGCTCTCCATAATGTAGGTGGGCTTCATCCAATCAACGGAAAGCCTTAACAGAAAAAAGACTGACCTCCCCCCAGGAAGAAGGAATTCTGCCAGCAAACTACCTTCGGAACTTGAAATGCAACATCAACTCTTCTCTGAGTCTCCTATCTGCCAGCTCACCTGCAGATTTTGGACTCTACTAATACCAGCCTTCACAATGGCATAAGCCAACTCCTTAAAATAAATTCAGATAGATAGGTTAAATTAAATAGCCTAGATAGATAGATAGATAGATAGATGGAGACACACCCTATTGGTTCTGTTTCTCTAGGGAACTCTGAGTAAGACAAGGACTTTCTTTATTCAGGAACTATGTAATTATGTCTTTCCTAGCTTTTTTTATTTTTAAGTAAAAATGTCATTTTCTTTCAAAAAATTCTGGAAATCCTGCTTTAAACATGATAAATTTTAGCAATATTTTACACATATGTTTTTATTTTAAGGGTCATTTTTGTCACCCATCCCTTTTTTTCTTTGATGGTGGGAGGCTAGGCAAAAGGAAAAAAAATAATCAGGTCAACATTTTCTTTGAGGACTTTTCTCCAAACCCAAAGCTATTAATTGACAGAAAAGCAAAAGCTTTCTTCTAGGAGGGAGGGGCTCAGGTATTTTAGTCATTGGTATTTGTAGAATCTCAATACTGGTTTAGCCCTTATGTAGCAATACAGATGTGAAGGATGGATATGTGGGCAGCCCTTGTCATCGAATTTGATCTTTCACAAATGACACATCTCAGTGCATCTGAAAGTCTAGAATTACGAGACAAAGAGGTCCCTAATTTACAGAAGTCCTGAAGCTTTGAATTCTAGTTTCCTCATTGCTAGGGATTCCTGTAAGTGCCACATACTTGTGGCAAAACTTGTGAGAAAACTCATCCTCTTCAGTTAGAGGACTTTGCTTACACTGCTGCCATCATGCAGTGACAACAACCCACACTGGGCAGCCCCCCAGCACCACTCTGCACTCCAGACCTTCAGGGACATTAGCCTCCCCCGGAGCTTAAAAGCTTTGGCAAGCTCAAAACTGATGACGAATAGTGCTGCCAATTTCTCTTCGTACCATCCTATAAACCATGATCCCCCCACCCCATGTTGGTGCTAAGAAATAAAAAGCAAGAAACTTTTAGAAAAAGACTCTTTCCTTGGAACTGCTTCTGTTTTCTGCTCCAGGTCAAAAGCTTTATTTATCCCAGGGTCTTTGTAAGAGGTAACATAGTTAATTAAAAAAAAAAAAAGATGCTTTGTTGAGATGGAAATTCCATCTCAGCAGAGTTGATCTCGAGTACTGAATGAAACTTAGAATCAGCAGTGATCCTACTATTTTGAAGAAGAAAAACAGGGAAAACTCTTTTTTCTGCTATGTCCACTTCTATCACTTTCTTTTTTATGGCTGAGTAATATTCCATTATATGCATGTGTATACATATATGTGTGTGTATACACACACACACACACACACACACACACACACACACACACCCCCCACAATGTCCCCAATCCTATCTAAGGGAAACTCCTCTACTTATGCTCTGGATTTTCCCATCTCCCCCACTTCAGGACTCCATTCCTACAATTATCCCCTCTCTCTGAATCATGAATTTCTTGTTTTCCATTGGACCATTCCATCAATACCCTAGGATGCTTTAATGTACCCATCCAAAATAAATAAATCAATAAATCCTTCCTTGACCATGAGTCCTCCATCCAGATACAGCCCTATCTCTCTGCTCCTTTTCATAGCAACCTTCAAGAACCCTGCCTCTACTGCTTCCTCCACTCTCTCACCCCCTAGTCTCTGACCAGTCCACCCTAGGTAGACTTTTGTCCCCTCCCACCACCCTAGTCTTCCTTTTCTCTCACTCATGCTTCTTTTCAGTCACCTTTGCCAGTTCTTCCTCCTCTGCCAGACCTCTGAAAGTTAGGAGTACCCCCAGAACTCAGTCTTAAGGCCTCCTCCTCTATCTGTGGCATCTCCTGAAATGAACCCACCACTACATGCTAATGACTCCTAAATGGACATTTCCCTCCCTAACCTACCCTGAGGCTCTAAACTTCTCTACCAACCACTGCCTTTCTCAACAAGTCCACATATACATCTAATTAATAACTTAAACATAACATGCCGAAAGAGAACTCTCCACTTCCCCAAACCCAGTTCTCCTATTATCTTTCCCATCTCAAGAAACGGCACTACAATTCACCAAGTTGCTTCAGGCAGAAATCCAGGAATCGTCCTGGGTCACTGTTTGTTTTATCCCCTCACATGCAATCAGCAAGTCAAATAGACTCCATCTGCAACAGGCATCAAGAATCCAACCACTTCTCATCACCCTCGCTGCTCTTTCACTGCTCTCCCTGGGACAACCCTGACTGGTCTTCTTGCTTCCACCTTCCTTTCCACAGGTCACTCTCCACAGCAGAGAGATGGTTGTCAAGCATAATCAGATGATATCGCACCTTTGCTTAAAGCTCTCCAATGGATTCCCGTGGCAAGTAGGATAAGGTCCCAGCTGCCTCCTGTAGTTCTGCCTATCTCTCTGAGATCATCACGTCTTCTCTCTTGCTCATTTGCTAGGCACACTGGTCTCCCTTCCCCTTCCAATAAGGTCACTGCTTCTCAGCTTTGCATGTTCTACACCCTCTGCCTGGGATGCTCTTCCTCAGGGCCTCAACCGCTGGCTTCTTTGCAGCATTACTGCTCAGCTCACACGTAACCTCCTCAGCAAGGACTTAACCAGACCACCATGGCAGAATAGCACCTCCTGCCCCCCTATTCCTACCGACCATGCCCTACCTCATTACCTGTATTTTCTTCGTAGAATCTTTCTTGACCTGAAAACTTTTCTGTGGTATGGACTGCCTATGACCCACTGGTACAATGTAATGGCCATGAAGCCAGGGACCTGTCTGTTTCTCTCCCTCCAACATTTAGATCAGTGACTAGCAGAGAAGCTATGTTTTTTGGTTTCTTTTTTTCAAATGCTGAAAGAGAGGAGGCAGAGAAAAGGAGGAATCCAAGAAAAACCAAAAGGAAGAGATGAGGATAAGTTTGGTTCAGTTGTAGTGAATGAATGAAGACTAGATTGACTAAAGAAAAAAAAAAAGGAATAGTGGGAAATAAATGATGCTGGGAAAGATGGAATCGAACAGAGAAAGGTCTCAAATGCCAAGCCAGATTGCCTGGAATTTATGCAGCAGGAACTAGGGAGCCACTGAAGCCACTGAACTGCTGAATGCCCAGTGCCTGGAATGCAATGGACAGTTGAAAACTATTTGTTGACCAAATCACCAGTGCAAAGGTGACAGCTAAAACTGAGAGAATGGGATCAGTTCTCAAGGGAAAGAAGCCCTGAGCCTGGGGGAGATGTCTCCAGTCAGAGGAAGGGAAGAAAAGGAGGGAAGACATGAAAGGGAGACGAGCCAGAGATGGAGGGGAAGTGTCAGAGAGAAAGGGAACACTGAAACCAAGGGAAGGAAACGTGGCAACAGCAACTGCAGTTAAAAATGTTAACTGGGGCTTCCCTGGTGGTGCAGTGGTTGAGAGTCCGCCTGCCGATGCAGGGGACACGGGTTCGTGCCCCGGTCCGGGAAGATCCCACATGCTGCGGAGCGGCTGGGCCTGTGAGCCATGGCCACTGAGCCTGCGCGTCCAGAGCCTGTGCTCTGCAACGGGAGAGGCCACAACAGTGAGAGGTCTGCGTACCGCAAAAAAAAAAAAAAAATGTTAACTGTCTGGGGGGAAAAGTCCGGAATGAGACCTAAGAAAAGGCCTCTGAAGTTGATAAGAAGATGACTGGCACCAGCCACTTCAATGAAGCTGTGGAGATAAAAATGGGACCATGGCCTGCGAAAGGAAGGGGAAGGTGATGAGGAAGACGAGGAAAGAAGATGCAGAAAGACTAGGAAGTTTCTCCTGGCATTCCGCCTCCACCAGTCCACTGACGCTGTCCAGAGTGCCAGCCTCAAGCAGAGGGAGAAACATCCAACCAAGATCAAGCTAAGATCCACCAGGATATATAGAAATAGAGAGGAAATGGGATAGAGGTGACGGGAACACTTGTTTTTTAAGTCCTGCAGCACTATGTGGCATTAACAAAAATACACAGTCATTTATAAGCACACTGAGGCCAGCAATATTTAAATAAAACCTGAACATCAGTCCTACCATAAGAATTTTGTTTGGACTTGCAGTGGCATTCATGCAACATGTTCTTTTGGACCCTCTCGATTGTGATGGATCCTCAATTGTACGCACTTCCTCAGATGAAGATAATTTCCATCCTTCAGCAAAGGCAAACAGCGTGTCATCAGACACAGAGGCCCTCCTTCTGGGGACGTAATCTGTCACCCTGTCATCTGTGGCTGTAGGGAGTGGGGATGCTGATGGATGTGTGCTGGGTCTCCTGCTGTCTTCAGAGCTCTTTGATGGGGATGCAAACTCTGCTGGAGATGCACAGCTCTCGGAGAGCTTGTTTTGCAAAAAATGTTTTAAACGCGTTTTTCTGGGAACACTGTTTTTCATAATTGCGCTCCGAAGCTGAGACTCTTCTGCAATGACGTACACTCTGCACCGGCCCCGGGTCACCGCTGTGTACACGTGCTGCCAGTGCTGGCGGCCCGCCTTCCCAACCACATACACGACTGTCTTCTCCTCCGACCCCTGAGGGGAAATAATGCACGAAGGAGATTTAATACTGCATAATGGGTTCATGTCTCTGGAGAGTCTACGAAGGCAGAAAGGAGTCAAGTCCTCAAAGTGCTCTCAAGAGCATTCTACCTGGCCAGAATATTCAAATGAATCCATCTGATGGGTTCCATTTTATTCATTATCCTGGAATTCCCATTTTCTAATTACGCTGCTAAGTTTGGGTGTCATAGATCCAAAACTGGCATGTAGAAACCCAGCAATAAACTTTAAACCGCACGCAGTGCTAAATCTTCCTTAATAAAAGAATTTGAAACGGCTGTATGGGCTTTATGTATAGATGTCTTACTCCACTGTTACACATAACAAAAAACAGACACCTGAAATATCTAATAATAGGAAATAGATAAATATATATATGTATATATTTACTTTTCTATATCATGTATCTATATATGTTACAAACATCAGAAATGCTTTAAAATATAACAAAATTTTAAAAACTTGATACATATATATAAAAAAATGATCACAACCATGTAACACAAAATAAAATTACTCTGGTCAAAAATACGAAGCGCACATAAAGATGTAACAAAAACAAAGTAAATCACAAAGCAAGAAGGGAATCCTACCAAAAATTTAACCAGTCTGTTTCCAAACAGAGGGCCTATGGATGATTTTTTTTTTCCTACTTTCCGTATTTTTCCAACGTTGAACCATTTATTACTCTTATCAAGATAAGACAAAAGAGAATGACGAACCTTTGTTTCTTGGGTGTAACAAACCAAGAACTATACTACAGGCAAGAAAAATGCTCAATGTCACCATGTAACCGTGAGAAAACAATTTCAAGGAAACAATAACAAATTGTGGCTATTCTTAGTCCCTGTATTTTCAGTGCCAACATAAACTAAGAAGGGGTTGGAGCCATTCTCTCTCCCAGCGCTCCCACATTCCTCCGCCTGAAAGAGGAATTGTGGGGAGACAAACAACAAGATGAGGCAGGTAGAAAATACACACCTGCACTAAAAAAAACCTTGTACTTACCAAGCACTTCTACCTTGCTGGGCACAGAGAGTTTGAACCAACTCCTCAGATTATAAAAGTTTGATAAATACTTCCTTCCGATGCTGCCGAATCTCAGAAATGAATGTAAATGATACTTAATTCTACAAATGTTAAACACATTTGGTAGATATACAGCACCATCCCCCCATGCCCCCATGGACTTTATACTTTACACTGTATTTTTGTAAACAGGTAAACGTCTACCTAAACTTAACTGAGTTCTTAATCATCAATTAGATATCACTGAGAAAAATCTGATAGCCTCATTATCAGTCTCCCTGTACCCACATTTACTGCAATACACTGTCCTCACAGAGAGCAGCCACAGTGCTATTTGTCAAATGCAAATCTAGTCACATCAGATTCTGCTTAAAACCCATTAATGGCTCCCAGGCTCTCAAAAAAAAAAAAGTCCTAACTCCTTAATATGGCTCCTACAGCCCTTCAAGAGCCAGCCTTGGCCTTTCTCCTCCTTCCTTTCCCCCTTCCTTCCCATGAGCCAGGCTCCCTCAAGCACAAAGAACTTGCTTGTGATCCTGCCTGTGCTCCCCAGTCCCTGGCCTCCATCTGGCCTACTTCCGGATTAGCTGCCTGATCCATGTACTTTCCAGCGCCCTGTACTTCCTCTATCACAGTATTTTTACCTGACTGACTGGACTGTCACCAACTGCCTTCTTAACTGTACTCCTCACTGGACTGTAAGCTCTGTGAAGGCAGGGCCACATCTGTCTTGCTCACTGTTCTTTATCAGGTGTCTCATTGAGTGAATGAGGATAAAAATTAGACTGTCAGCCAAAGCTGTCCTCCGAAAGTGGGACGTGGGCACCTACCTTCACCTCACAACCTGCTATTAATCATTTGCCCATGTCCTTAAATCTTCCTCAAATCATTAAGAACTGTCAAACTTCTTAAAGGAGGCAAGTTTTATTTATTTACTTCTGTAAATTTGTTCTAAAACTCAACAACTGGTATGAATAGACACAAACCATTAATGCCCTTCATGAGTTTGTGGACCTAGAATCTGAAAGTCTATATGGACCTTAGAGTGGGGGTCAAAAAACTTTTTCTGTGAAGGGTCAAAGCATCAGTATTTTAAGCTTTGTAGGCCAGATGGTCTCTATGGCAACCACTCTGTTCTTCCTTTGTAGTGCAAGAGCAGCCATAACCAATATGTAAATGAATGTGGGACTGGGTTCCAATAAAAATTTATCTACCAAAACAGGTGGTGGACCAGATTTGCCTACCATATTGGATAACACAGTCCTAGAAGGCCCCAGGAGGTGACCTGGCCCACATCACTCCTCTAACCTCATCTCCTGTCACTCTCCCACACTGGCCTCCTTGCTGTTCCTGTTTCTCAAACCTGCTGGACAGCCTCTCCCACCTTAGAACTTTGGCCTTGGCTATTCTCTCTACCTAGAATGCTCTTGTCCCAGATATTCACATGGTTTAACTTCATGACCTCCTTCAAATCTTTGCTCAGATGCCACCTTGTCAGTGAGGCCTACCCTGACCACCTATTTAAAATTACAACTGCACCTCACCCCCACCCCTTTTCCATAGCATTTACCACCTTCTCACATAATACATAGTTTACTTATTTTTTTCAATTACATCTGTCTCTATCCTCTTCCTTACCAAATATAATCCTCATAATGTCAAGTATCATTGACTATTTCATGGACTGACCTATTACCAAGCACAGAGAAGAGAGTCTGACTCAATACATTTTTGTTGAGCTCAACTGAACTTGAAGAACAAACTATACTGATAGAAGACAACAATCACAAATGTTCTCAGCGGTAAGAGACATTATTTCAACCATGAAATAAGAGCCAGATTCAATGAAAAGAACATTCCAAGATATCTACTCCAATCTCCACCCAGTAGTAATAAAAACCCTTCACTACTTATTTGTCTAGAAATGCAACAGAAAAACTGGATTATAAGTCTGAAGAAATCAATAGAGCAAAACATTAATGAGTTGGAAAACAGGAGAGCTGATAAGAAATTCAGGTAACCAGTTCTGGAGGTCCAATATCCATACAGTAGAAGTTCTAGAAAGAAAAAGCAGAGAAATCTGAGGATGAGATAATGAAATTATTTAAGAAAATTTCCCAAAATTGAAGAATATGAGTTTCCAGAATTCCAGAGTCCCCATCATAAAAATCCATGGGAGAAATTTCTCCCAGATCTCACAGCTAGGAATATTTGCCCTTCTCAACAACTGTTTGTTTGTTCATTTACTTTAACCTAGTAGACAGAGTCAACTGACTGCTTCTCTCTTCGCTTTGGGAACTTTGGCCTTAAGGGAACTTAAAAGCTGAATCTGCAGTCTACATTAGCACGCAAATAGGACAGTATGCATATCAGCATTCAATCCACTCTTGGCAGTAATCCTTTTATCATGTTTAACTTTATTTTCCACTTGACATGCATTTTTCTTTTTAAATAAATTTATTTATTTATTTATTTTTGGCTGCGTTGGGTCTTCACTGCTGCACAAGGGCTTTCCCTAGTTGCAGTGAGTGGGGGCTACTTTTCATTGTGGTGCGCGGGCTTCTCATTGCAGTGGCTTCTCTTGTTACGGGGCATGGGCTCTAGGCGTGCAGTCTTCAGTAGTTGTGCCACGTGGGCTCAGTAGTTGTGGCTTGCGGCGCCTAGAGCACAGGCTCAGTAGCTGTGGCGCACGGGCTTAGTTGCTCTGTGACATGTGGGATCTTCCCAGACCAGGGCTCAAACCAGTGTCCCCTGCATTGGCAGGCGGATTCTTAACCACTGCACCACCAGGGAAGTCCCTGACATGCATTTCTTTATATTTTAAAAAATCATGCTCAACTGTGGGCACTTTTTGTAAGCCATTTCAAATTCTTTCTGGAACTGGGGTGGGGTAAGTTAATAAATAAAGCACCATCCACTTTGGAAAAAAAACCCTATGCTAATTAATGTTTGCCTACTATTAGAGGATATAGTCTAACCTATAAAATTTTCTACATAAAAATGAAAGTGGGGGCTTCCCTGGTGGTGCAGTGCTTAAGAATCCACCTGCCAATGCAGGGGACACAGGTTCAAGCCCTGGTCTGGGAGGTTCCCACATGCCGTGGAGCAACTAAGCCCGTGCGCCACAACTAGTGAGCCTGTGAGCCACAACTACTGAAGCCTGCGCTCCTAGAGCCTGTGCTCCACAACAAGAGAAGCCACCACAATGAGAAGCCCACGCACTGCAATGAAGAGTAGCCCCCGCTCATCGCAACTAGAGAAAGCCCACACACAGCAACAAAGACCCAACGCAGCCAAAAATAAATAAATAAAATAAATTTATATTAAAAAAAAAAGAAAGTGGATGCAGCCTTGTCACCAAAACAACACAATGGCAGAGAGAGGAGTTCAAAACAATGAGATAAATAACAGAGCCACAAATAACTTGTGAGAATTAAAAAATATTAAAATAAAGTTGAAAAGCAAGTTGCAGCAAATGCAATGTGGTGTCCAGAATAAGATTCTGGAACAGAAAAAGGACATTAATGGACAAACTGGTGAAATCAAAATAAAGTGTATTTTTTAGTTAATAGTACTGTACCAATAGTAGTTTCTTAGTTTTGACAAATATACCATAGTTATATAAGATGCTAATATTAGGGAAAGCTGGGTGAAGGGTACACGGGAACTCTCTGTACTAACTTCCCAACTCTTCCATAAATCTAAAATTATTCCCAAATCAAAAGTAATTACCTCACAAGGGTAGAGGAAGGGGATACATTTATCAAAACCCATCCCACTTTGTAATTAAAATGTGTTTGTAAATTATACCCCAATAAAGTTGGTTAAATAAATAAAAAAGAAGTTGTAAAAATATATATAATCAATACAATACCATTTATGTAAAACTTGGTTACCTTGTTTCTATATGAACAGACAAATTCAGGTCAGAAATCACCTCTGAGGAGGGTGGGAAGGCCTGGGATGAGGGGAGGGCAAATGAGCCAGTTGCTTTGGGTACAAAACTTAAGAGGATACCAAGAAACTCAGCAATCAAGATAAATAAATTTAAAAAAATAAAAAACTCTCCAGAAAGTGGGCACAAAGGGAACATAACTCAACATAATAAAGGCCATATATGACAAACCCAAAGCTAACATCATACTCAACGGTGAAAAGCTGAAAGCATTCCCTCTAAGATCAGGAACAAGACAAGGATACCCACCCTCGCCACTTTTATTAAACATAGTTTTGGAAGTCCTAGCCACAGCATCAGAGAAGAAAAACAAATAAAAGCAATCCAAATTGAAAAGGAAAAAGTAAGACTGTTATTATTTGCAAATGACATGATAGTATACATAGAAAATCCTAAAGATGCCACCAGAAAGCTACTAGAACTCATCGATGAATTCAGTAAAGCTGCAGGACACAAAATTAATATATGGAAATCTGTTACATTTCTATACACTAACAGTAAACTATCAGAAAGAGAAATTAGGAAACAATTCCATTTATAACCACTTCAGAAAGAATAAAATACCTAGGACTAAAAAGGAGGCAGAATACCTGTACTCCAAAAACTGTAAGACACTGATGAGAGAAATTGAAGACGACACAAACAGATGGAAAAATATACCATGTTCTTGGATTGAATCAATATTGTGAAAATGACCATATTACCCAAGGCAATCTACAGAGTCAATGTAATCCCTATCAAATTACCAGCATTTGGTAATTTGACATTTGTGACATTTTTCACAGAACTGGAACAAAAAATTTTTTAATTCGTATAGAAACACAAAAACCCAAAATAGCCAAAACAAGTTTGAGAAAGAAGAATGGAGCTGAAGGAATCATGCTCCCTGACTTCAGACTATACTACAAAGCTACAGTCATCAAAACAGTATGGTACTGGCACAAAAAAAGACACAGATCAATCCAATAGGATAGAAAGCCCAGAAATAAACCCATGCACTTATGGTCAATTAACCTATGACAACAGAGGCAAGAATATACAATGGAGAAAAGACAGTCTCTTCAATAAGTGGTGCTGGGAAAACTGGACAGCTACATGTAAAAGAACGGAATTAGAACATTCTCTAACACCATATACAAAAATAAACTCAAAACAGATTAAAGAGCTAAATGTAAGACCAGGTATTTTAAAACTCCTGGAGGAAAACATAGGCAGAACACTCTTTGACATAAATCACAGCAATATTTTTGGGGATCCATCTCCTAGAGCAATGGAAAAAAAAAGCAAAAATAAGGAAATGGGACCTCATTAAACTTAAAAGCTTTTGCACAGCAAAGGAAAGCATAGACAAAATGAAAAGACAACCTATGGACTGGGAAAAAATATTTGCAAACAATGCAACCGACAAGGGATTAATTTCCAAAATATACGAACAGCTCATACAGCTCAATATCAAAAAAACAAACAACCCAATCAAAAAATGAGCAGAAAACCTAAACAGACATTTCTCCAAAGACATATAGATGGCCAACAGGCGCATGAAAAGATGCTCAACATTACTAATTATTAGAGAAATGCAAATCAGAACTACAATGAGGTATCACCTCACACCAGTCAGAATGGCCACCATCAAAAAGTCTACAAACAATAAATGCTGGAGAGGGTGTGGAGAAAAGGGAACCCTCCTACACTGTTGGTGGGAATGTAAATTGGTGCAGCCACTATGGAGAACAGTATGGAAGTTCCTCAAAAAACTAAAAATAGGGAATTCCCTGGCGGTTCAGTGGTTAGGACTTGCACGTTCACTGCTGAGGGTGTGGGTTCAATCCCTGGTCAGGGAACTGAGATCCCGTAAGCCACACAGCACGGACAAAAAATAAAGTTACTTGCATTTTTTAAAAATTAAAAAAAAAACCTAAAACTAAAAATAGAATTACCATATGATCCAGCAATCCCACTCCTGGGCATCTATCCAGAGAAAACTCTAATTTGAAAAGATACATGCACCCCAATGTTCACAGCAGCACTACTTACAATAGCCAAGACATGGTAGCAACCTAAATGTGAATCGACACATAAATGGATAAAGAAGACGTGGTATGTATGTGTGTGTGTGTGTGTGTGTGTGTGTGTGTGTGTATATACATATATATAAATACACACACACACACACACACACACACACACACAAACGGAATACTACTCAGCCATAAAAAAGAATGAAATAGGGAATTCCCTGGTGGTCCAGTGGTTAGGACTCGGTGCTTTCACTGCCGGGACTGGGTTCAATCCTTAGTCAGGTAACTAAGATCCCACAAGCTGCACGATGCGGCCAAAAAAAAAAAAAGAAAAAGGAATGAAATAATGCCATTTGCAGCAACATGGATGGACCTAGAAATTACCATACTAAGTGAAGTGAGTCAGAGAAAGACAAGTATATGATATCACTTATATGTGGAATCTAAAAAAACAATACAAATGAACTTATTTACAAAACAGAAACAGTCTCACGGACATAGAAAACAAACTTATGGTTACCAAAGGGGGAAAGGGAGGGGTGGGGAGGGATAAATTAGGGATTTTGAATTAACAGATACACTCTACTATATATAAAATAAACAACAAGGACCTTCTATATCGCACAGGGCACTACCGATATAGTCAATATCTTGTAATAACCAATAATGGAAAAGAATCTGAAAATATATATATACATATTTACACGTATAACTGAATCACTTTTGTGTACACCTGAAACATTGTAAGTCAACTATATTTCAGTTTAAGAAAATAATTTAAAAGTTAAAATTTAGAGCAAAACAGATCCACAATGAACAAAATATCAAAATTTTAAATAAAGGCAAGATCAGTAAGAGTGCCATGCCAAGTGACACTGGAGACGGAAGCAAGAGGGAAATTCAGTTATTCTGGTCCTGACCGCTCTTTTCCTGGGAGACATGGGAAGGTCTTCAGGATGAGGCTTTAACTATGTCTTAGACCCAGAAAATAAAGACAGCTCTGAAGCAGACAGTGCAAAACACTAGTGTCTGTACAGTAGTTTCTGTACTTCTGCGTATTTTGTTTCCTAATTAAAAAAATAATAAAAGCAACAAAACTTAGGAAGAAAATAATGCAAGATACTCTATCTTGGCAAGCTATTTAAATTGCTTTATAAAAGTCCATTCTTACCTGAAAAGTGTGAATAGTTCTTGCCCATGCATGTTTTATGTTACAATATTGCATTAGTTTCCCAAAATCCACAGTTACTTCGAAGCCAGCCATATTATTAATGGTCAAAAATCTTTTCTTTCCAAAAGTTATATCAGTTTTATCCTGTCATCAAAACAAATAACTGTTTTGTATGTTTCCAAATATGTACACTGTAAAGGTCTGTTTTGGGGCTGAACATAAAATGCAAGCACCTTATAAATAAAATAGCATGTATAATTGTTAAGAATTTCAAAAAGCTTAAAATCTATGCTTGAGCATCAACTGAATACAGACACACCCAAATATTTTAATAACCACAAATGGAAGTTTTTGGTCCTTGAAATTTAACCTTAATTTGACTCTTTGGAGAACAGTCAGTGTTGTCTTTCTTATTTTGAAGACTATACATTTCACTTCTTGCACTGACTATGTAAGTCTGCATGTATTTTTTGCAAAGAGTTTGCTTTTCCTCACAGATTTTAAAGAATAAACTTGTAAGTTTAAAAGCGTATTTATACAATGAGGACAAATTCAAGGTGATCACTTCTATAGTTCCTACATTTACACAGCAACCAAGCAAGTGATGCTTTGTAAAATATAATAAGTGTGTCGCTTGTCCCTTGTTTTTGTTACTCAAGCACTTCAAACTTATTAAAAATGTTTCTTCACAAAGTCTTCCAGAACATGTAAGAGAAAGGAACACTTCCCAACTCACTTTATGAGGCCAGCATTAGTCAGACACCAAAACCGGACAAGATTATCACTAGAAAACTACAAACCAAGATCCCTCATGGACACAGATGCAAAAATCCTTAACAAAAAATTATAGAAGAAGAATGCCAGCTCTGATATGATTAAATTCTGAATCAATCCTCGGGCAAAAAAAGAAAACTAAATCTATCCCTCATAGGTAAAAAGGTACTATTTTTCTGTTATCATTTACCTCTGTTATGAAAAATACTTCTCCATTGCAGAGTCGAATACCACTTTCAAAGTCATGCTTATTTTTAGCAAAACCATGAGGAGTACCATTAAAGTCTTCGCCACCGGCCTTTAGTTCATTATTTTGTTGGCTGTTGAAGGTATTTTCAGGGAGTAAGTCTGAGAGATACGCGTTCCTGGTACAACAAATTTTATCACCAACTCCAAATTCAAGTCTATTCTGATGGTTTCTGGGTTAGAAAATAATAATACAGCATCAGAGTTGGGAAAACCTCAATTTCATTTTCTTTAAGCATTGACTCTTACTCAGATCTGATCCAGTTCTCAAAATTATTTCCACAGTCTCTTTACGTCACTTTTGTTCTCCAAAGGTCAACAAGAAATCAGGCTCCCTCAGTTGTGGTCTATCTACACTTTCTGCAGCACCTCAAACTCAGTGACATTTCCCAGTGGAATTTTTTCAAAGTTAGAAATCTTGGCGTAAAGGCTGATGTCTCTTTGCCTTTATATTACAAAAGTTACCAAAAATCTTATTGACTCTACCTTTTAAATTCATCCTCTCCTCTCCAATCTCTCTAATCACTACCCCAATTCAAGTCTTACAGCACTTACACATATTGCTATTGTAATAATTATATTATCAGAATAATAGCAGCAAATCAAATAAGTGCTGGTGATAATACCAGTTACCGTGGTAAGTGCTTTAGGTATATTATTTCATTACATCCTCACTACAACTTTATGAGGGAAATTCTGGGTAAGTGTCCTCTTTTACATACATAGAAAGGTGAAATTACCTGCCCAAGATCACAGTTACTGTGACCCAGACTGGATGGCCCCAAACTTATGCTTTTCAACCCTTTGTTGGGCTACCTATCGTGGGTTTTTTTTGTCTTTCCTCAATAAACAGGGAGCTCCTCTTGTAATTTACACTTCTCTGGGTTCTCTGCACTTAATAAAGAGTAGGTATTGATAAATGCCAGAGAAGTGAGTTAGTCTGTCCTACGTGTGAATAGAGTGGCTTTTCTATGCTCCTATTTCCCTGATAAAAGTCCACCTAAGGTACTCTCTGTAGGCACCCGATTGATTGCTAAGGTTCTTGTACACATTCCACACACATTCTAATTTGAAAAATTGCCCTGAATTCTCCACACTCATCTTGGAGAAGCTAGAGGTAAGAAACCACAGGGACAATTTTATTCTTTATTTTTCTTATTACCCTGATTACCAAATAGTCAATTCCTAAGGATATATATTATATGTAATTGAAGATACCATTTGACTTCACAAAGGAGAAAAAAGATTTTAAAACATGCGGCTACAGTGATAAATGTCAAAACAAACAAAAGTATGGCGAATCCAGGAAGCACTGTCCTTACTTGATTAGACGGCCCGTGTAGTGCTTGCAACAGCAGGTGTTGATCACGTCGCAGTCCTGCCTGGAACACAGAAAAATACAGGGGTCACCTTAATGGAACCTCTTTTGTGTGGATTTCTGTTACCAACAATTATGAGATACTGGATTTTGTCAAAAGTTTCCAGGACTGGGACTTCCCTGGTGGTCCAGTGGTAAAGAATCTGCCTTGCAATGCAGGGGACATAGGTTCAAACCCTGGTAGGGGAACTAAGATCCCACATGCCACGGGGCAACTAAGCCCACGTGCCACAACTACTGAGCTCACTCACCTCAACTAGAGCCCGCGTACCATAAACTACAGAGCCCACGCGCTCCGGAGCCTGCGCACCACAACTAGAGAGAGGAAACCCCCACGCCACAACTAGAGAGAAGCCCGCGCACCACAACGAAGAGCCCGCACGCCGCAACTAAGACCCGACACAGCCAAAAATAAAATAAAAATAAATAAATAAATAATAAATCTTTTTTTAAAAAAAAAGTTTCTAGGACTTTCTCCAGGAAAAGTATTTTGTAATTTTGATCTTAACCCTTTCTTCCACTCAGATTTCCTATGAGTTACCAAATATATTATTTGATAGAAAGAGCACCTCTTTAGGGAATTCCCTGGCAGTCCAGTTGTTAGGACTCAGCATTCTCACTGCCAAGGGCCTGGGTTCGATCCCTAGTCAGGGAACTAAGATCCCACAAGCTGCAAGGTGTGGCCAATAAAAAGAAAGAGCCCTCTTTAGAAACTGCCTTCTGCTGGACGTACCCAAGAAATACCTCAAAATAAGAGAGAGAATTCACAGTGATGAACTACCAGTCTCCCATTCCAACAGCACCTAGATTCATAAGGTATGAGATTTAAAATCTTCATTAAAAACACCAAAATTTTGTAAATGCTTTACCTTCTAAATGCAATAAATTGTGATGTTTTTGCATCTTCTAGGTCCTTTTCTTTGAGTAAAGTGCTAACTGCAGAATATAAATCTGACAATTCAAGAGAAAAAAGTTAACACAGCAAAGCACTAAATTATAACATTGTTTCAATGGAGAAACTACTTCAGAATTCCTGCTAAGGGGTCCAGGAAAACATCTCACCAAATGGGATACAAGTTCACCATGGGAGCATCAACCTCATTTGTTTCATCAGCCAGGGGCGAGAGAAAAGAGAATGAAGGTGACGGTTCCAGACACTCTATCCTCAATCACTAGCCAGGACAGCTCCTAATTTGTAATATCACCACTGCATATTTACTGATGGTTTGTGAATGCTGAATTTAAAGTATGAGCAAGAGGACAAAATATGTAACATAACTACTAACGTAAGACTTCTTTCTGTCTTAAGTTCTGGTGGTACTAGTGGTCATGAGTTATAATTTGAGAATCTATATGCTTTGCGTATGTGATTTCATCTTTAATCTTCACAATACTCACATGATGTATGTATTATTATATACAGGGCCGACATTTAGCTTTTACATACCAGTATAACATATGGAGATATTTCTGTTTTAACTAGAAAATAGCTACTCCCCAAACACCACAGTGCCCTCCCTCCCACCCCAGCCATGTCCTTCCTTCCTCCAGAGCCCCCAGATGTCCCCAGGATTCAGCAACTAAAAGGTTAACCCTGACACAGGAAGGGCATCCATCCAAGGGTAGAGTGACCAGACCCTACCAGCTATTAAGTAGTTTAATTAGCACCACTGATTACATCCTTGTTACAACCTGAAACTGAGGCTCTTGGAAGTAAAAGAAATTTTCCAGTGGGGTAGTGTGACCAGCCTCCCTCTTTTAGAGCTCAGATCGTTGACAGTGATAATGTCCACTTACAGCTTGTCCTTCACAGAGCACTGAGAAGCAGGCTTCCTCTAACCTCTCTCAGCAATGTTACAAATTGGGGAACATTTCTCAGGAGAGGCAGAAGAAATAAAAATTGGGGTAAAAACATTCCAGGCTTTTGGGTCCCTCGTAGCAGATAAATCACAAGGGAATGAAAAAGCCCTGATCCCTGCTCTAGGAAGACTGAATCAGTTGCTCGCTGAGCCCTTCATTTTTCAGATGAAGGAAGGATTATCATTAAAAAATGTCCAAGACTCAGCTCACCACCAGCCAAGCCCCGCTTGCCAAAGGTCTCACAAAACACTGGTTTCTTTCACACGTACAGGATCACGCTGTTCTGCTCCTTGCTTTGTTCACTCTCTCTACATCTCCCAGATCAATACGTACGCTGTACTTCATTGTTTCTAAGATACGCATTTTCTTCTCATATTTTAACATCTCTGGAATTCTAGCCCAGCTATGAAGCCTGTCTTAGGCCTCTGTACCTTTCAATAATGGGAATAACTGAGTAATTTATTAAGAAATACTTATTACTTAAGTATTAAAGAATAACACTTAATTATTAACGAAAAAATACTATATGCCTCTCTAAGGAGTAATTTATTCAATTATCTTAAAGAAGAGGCTCATTTTCCAGCTGAAGTTTGCAATTAAGTTAGAAAACAGCTCCAGCTAAGCTCCACTACCATTCTGAAACAACTTTTTTTTTAAGTACATTCTCATTAATGTAAAGAATGGGTACCAGAAATAAAACTAAACATATTTTAGGTAGATCTAAATGGAGTGGCAAAGAAAGCCAGCTTCTTAACCATCTTAGTCTCATTCTCTTCACCTGTACTAATACCTACTATGAACTAAGTAAGCTGTGGAGAGAATAAACATTATCTATAAATTACTCACAACATGTGTAATAAAAAACAAGTCAGGGCTTCCCTGGTGGCGCAGTGGTTGAGAGTCCGCCTGCCAATGCAGGCGACGCGGGTTCGTGCCCCGGTCCGGGAAGATCCCACATGCCGCGGAGCGGCTGGGCCCATGAGCCACGGCCGCTGAGCCTGCGCGTCCGGAGCCTGTGCTCCGCAACGGGAGAGGCCACAACAGTGAGAGGCCCGCGTACCGCAGAAAAAATAAATAAATAAACAAGTCAAAAAACAATACACAGCTTATAAACCAAATTATGTAAAACTAATATATGTCTGTGTATGGATATAATACGGTTTAAAAAGAGAAACTCCAAGCTCTTCCTATAGACGTGACCTTTATGGGGTTGATTCAGGGGAAGAGGACAGGGGGTGATTAAAGGAAATAATTTTTACTTCAAACACTTCTGTATCACTTGACTTTTGTTAAGGAATATAAACGATTTCTATAATAATAAAAAAAAAAAGCCAAAAAGGCATTTACAGAATCCTATTATTACATGAGCTCATTTAAAAAAAGAATAATGTAACATGTGAATGAACACTAACCCATAGGAACTGAGATGGGGACACACAAAGGAGGACAGGCTTACAGATAAAGCTGAATGTCAATTTCACATGCAGAGTGAAAGCTGCTAAGGAGGAAGGGTATACCTTGAAGAACTGTGGCAACTACAATAAATCCTCAATAAAAATCATTTAAATTTTCACTAATTCAATTCTGAGTAAACCACTATACAATTTAAAAAAGCTTGCTAAGTTTATAATATAAAGATCAAATTGTTTAAATAAATAAATAAATTCAATTTAAATAAATTCATTTGGAGCAGATAATTTAATACCTATTATTCACAAAAAACTAACATTAATATAGTTCCTCAAAACCTATGAACGCCCTCAACCTTCACAACTGTCCCCCACGCACTGTCACTATGACTCCCATTTTACAAATAGTAGAGTGATAAGGCATGGGTCGTACACATAAGGCAGAAGATTCCCTATCCCGTGCACTTCCTCAGCCCTGCCACGCTGTCATCCTAACACCCACAATTAGAAGTGATGTTTGTCCACTTTACTAGAAACAGAACTGTTAGGAACTCAGCTTGGCAAGAGTTTGACAGCCTTTACTTTTGTTTCGCAAATGTACTCAAAACAACAAATGTAGTCTTTACTTTTCCAGCAAATGTACTTTTCCAGCAAATACTGTACCTTTACAGTATTTGCTGTAAAAGAAAAGCTTCATTCGTTAAGACATGCTTTCTCCTGAATGAACCTGGATTACTTAGGGCTTCGCTTTATTTTAAACTAATTATCTACATCCACTTATTCACTCAACAAATATTTACTAAGCCCTTAGTATGCATGTGTCAAGGGCTTACTTCTTTACAAAATGCTAAAGTCATCTGCTTTTGATGATTAATAAATTATTTATTTTCAGTGCCTAACGTTTTGCTAGCAATATTTATCTTTACCATCAAATAAAATTATAACTAGTCATTTAATAACTATATTACAAAACTGAAATATTTAACCCTATATAACATAAAAGTTTATACTTACAAGAGTGATGATTACTTTTTGAGAACTGAGAACTGGTATCTTCTCCTGGGAGTCTAACAAAAATAAATGATTTATCTTGTATTGAGACAGGGAATGTTGGATCATCAGAGATATTCAGCTCTGCATCAAATGTTGGAAACTGGCGTCTCGAGATTCTTAAATAAAGGTAAAATAATACACTAACAGCATCAGCATCCAAAAATGTATCTTCACATATGAGCAGAGATAATGTCATTACAAGAATTAATATCTGTGAATAGGTCATAAACAGGGTAAAAGGGCTACCCATATATGCATTATAAATAGTAAATGAGTTTCAAAATACAGTTAGCTAGACCACAATGTTACTTTTATCCATCAGTCCCCTACCCCTAGCACATTAAAAGTATTAGAAAAAGTTGTCATGGAATTTACTAAGCAACATTCTGAGAACTTGACCTACTTTTCTCCAGACCACTAAAGAACCAAACCAAGTAGGTATTATCCTCATTTCACAGATGAGCAACATGAGGCGTAGTTAACTACAGTGGGGTTGTCCAAGATCACAGAGGTAAAAAGCGGGGTAGCTAGGAGGGAAATTTGGGCCCACTGGGCTCCATATTCCTTTCTATTTAAATTAATTTGAACTCTTTGGGGCCTTTTCCATACATTTACATCATACTCTTTCTTTTCTCCTTTCTTCTGTATATATCATATATATGGTCTCATGTTCCCAGCTGAACCAAGTATCCACATCTTCTCTTTGTTTCTGTTCTCTCATCATCATTCTTTTGTTCTTGTATTCCCCAAGACTAGCAAGTCATATCAGAAAGCACAGTAAAGGCCGGGGGCCTTGTCATACTGGAGTCCCTCCTTGGTTATTTGGAAGAAAACTGACACCCTGTAAAGACCTAACAGCAGCCTAGCTATCAAAGGAATAGTACCCTACTGTGTCATCTTTCAATCCTTCCGAACAGGGCTGGAAGGGAGGAAAGGAGAAAGAGGGAAGAAGGCTGTCCCTGCTGGAACTAACCCAGATTTAATTTGGGGTACTGAGAAACACCATGGATTTCCTGCTTTGCTTCTGACCCAGGACATGTAACATACTTCTAGCTCTAGAAGCTTTTCCGTGGTATCACTGGGATCCTTCTGTCATTAAACACTTGGTGACGATGACCAAGAATGACCAAGAATAATAAAAGGAGCACAGCTCAGCCCAAAAGATATCGAAAGGGTTACTAAAAGGAAATCCTAAATTTCAGATAAAATTGAGTTCTAAGAAACCTAATGTGCCTTAGATTCTTCCAAGATTTCTAGACTTTAAAATGACCCATCATCCACCAACATTCCAAAACTGAGGTGGACTTTAGGTAGGAGCAGAAGAGTTATAGATAAGAGTTATACAAGAGTTATAGTTACACTTCCAACGGCATTATTTTTCTTAACGCCCCAGTACGAACCTATATCATCTACCCTATTCCTGTCCATTCTGCCTCTACACCCACTATCTTTTCCAGGGTAGATGGGGCAGGGAGATAGGAGGCTTTGAATATTCTAGTTTCTGCTGACATCCAACCAAGAAAATGTTTAAGCAACAAAAACTGCATCTTGTAGTCTAATACAATACCCTGTCGTGCTAAATATCTGAACCCAATAGCTACTGCAAAGACCTCCACATAAGCTAATAAGTTTTTCATCCATCATTAAAGAAATAAGAACTCTTCTGACAGAAAACAAATCATCGTAGAGAAAGCACTTCTTTGAGCAAAATCTACCTTCCAATTTAATTCTACGTTATCTAGTAAGTCATTTTTTGTCCTCAAGTATAGTCAGAAATCTAGTTCCAGGTCCTAAGCCCCAGATGGATACACAGCAGGTCCAAGGGCAGGAGGACAGACACACACAAAATGTTGTACAAAGAAGACCTAACGCAATGAAGTTTCAGGCTAAATTCGTGATCTTAGCAACAGTTCAGGACCTATGCTAAATTTTTATTCAAATCAACTATAATCCCCTGCCACTCAGCTGACTGCCCCATGATCCCTATAATTCCCCAAATAACGGACAGTGATAAGGTAGAACCAAAATAATTCCATGCAGATACAGAAATAAAGCATGCACTACAGCCAATAAAGGGAAAATGAAACCTAAAACCAACCAACAAACAAAAACAGCACCTTGTAAAAGAGTCAAAAACAAAGATAAATTTTGGCCCAATGAATAAAAAGTCTCTTAATATTCTGTGGTCCCATCACATCTATTACAGAGGATTACTCTAAAGGCTTATGCAAAGATTAAGGAAAGAGAAGGATTCTTTCCTACTTTAAGGAGAGTAATATGCCTCAGGTGCCACCAGGATTCATCAAGGAGTAAAATACCTTTTCTTTTGCTTTTTTTTTTTTTTTTTTTTTTTTTGCTTTGGGCTCCCCTTATAAAAATTACACGAAATGTCTTCCCAAGTCACCCTTGAACTCTAATGAATTCATTTCCAAGTCTCTGTTCCCCTTGGGTTTATTCTGGTCTCTAAGCCTGATGCAACTTTATATATACTTTTAAAATCAGGAAAACACATTTATACTTAAATTTCAACACTAATTTATCTTGGATCAATAATGAAAAATACTTTGCTTTTCTAACTGTGGGACAAAAGGTATACATATACCCGAAGGACAGAAAAGGTTTGCTAAAAGAGCATAGTGAACATACTGCACTGAATCACCCTAATTCAAAAGCTAATATTTTTTTTACCTTTATTTCTAATACGACAGAGAGAAAATGCAAAATTTTAGTTATATTATACCTCGTAGCATTGTCCACAATTAGTTCAGATTCTGCTCTATGGTTTGTCTTTAGTTCAATAGCACAATTTCTTGACTTGAGAGTCTCAAAAAGATCTTTCAGCAAGTTACCAGGTTCAATACTGGGTAACTGTCTAATATCACCTAAAAGGGGGAAAAATACATAGAGTAGGTTTTATGTAACTGGGATCTGGAAATTTAGAAATTATTTTTATTTCTCCCTACTGATATATGCTATAATTATAAAGACTTACTCTGAGGAAAAACGAAAAAAATCTTCGTTTAAAATTACTTAAGAACATTAAGTCTTCAAAAATATTCAACAACAACAATAACAACAAAAACCATTCCAATTGGGCTTCCCTGGTGGCGCAGTGGTTGAGAGTCTGCCTGCCAATGCAGGGGACACGGGTTCGTGCCCCGGTCCGGGAAGATCCCACATGCCGCGGAGCGGCTGGGCCCGTGAGCCACGGCCGCTGAGCCTGCGCGTCCGGAGCCTGTGCTCCGCAACGGCAGAGGCCACAACAGTGAGAGGCCCGTGTACCGCAAAAAAACAAAACAAAACAAAACAAAAAAACATTCCAATTAAACAATATAAGACAGAAAAAATAGTGATAACACAGTAAGGTAAAACATGAACTTTTTTCATATCTATAAACACAGGCAAACTGTTGGGGCATATATTTTCACCAACAGGTAAAGAAAAAAACAGGCCTTAGATATCTAGAATTTAGTCACTTATTCAATCTTGCTCAATGTCTTACTAAACATGGAAAAATCTATGGCCTCAAATAAACTTAACGTACAAAATGCAAAATAAACAAACCCAGTGCATTTGATAATAAATTCAGTAATGTAATGATAACATTTTGCTCTATTAAAAATCTTTTTACTTTAAACACACAAGCAAACCTTAGAGAAAAGAGAAACTATTTTCTGGTGGAAACTGAAAGAATGCTTAAGCTATTAATAAAACCAACTGCTTACACAATATCCTCAAATACGTAAAACAGTTATTTATAAATATATTGATTCTCTCATTGCAATTCTATTTTTTCCTCCATTAAAAAACATGGTCTACACATCGGTACTACCTAATAGCATCAAACTGAATCTCACCGGAATTGGAAAGGACTTGTGAGGCTGGTGAGGTCTAAAGTGAATTACTAGCTTAAAATCGTAAAATTACTTTTAAGTGGTCTGTAATTCAGACTTTCTATTACTTCCAAATGATCTACATCCTGATTTACTCTGAGTCTGTGAGAATTTTACTATTTTAATAGTCACCATTTAGGTAATTACAGTAACTCCTCACAACTCTATTTCATTCACAACCTAGCTTGCTGATATCCTGGCCAAAACAAAGAGCCACCCAAGCTGATAGAGACTGGTCAGACTGAACTCAGAGCGGCTTCAGAGTGGGGTCTGAGAAATGGCTTCCCGCCTGTAGGATATGGATATTAAAACAGTGAAATGGTATAAAGAACGTACTAACCACAATAATTTGAACCAAACAATTAGGATTCCAACAATATTTTAACTTACCAAGGATAATAAGCTTAGAAAGTTGGGAGTGCTCACACAGTAAATTTAAAACTGATTTAAAGATTCCGACAGATACCAAACTCCCTTCATCCACAACCAGAACTCTAACCGAAGAAAATTTCCATGGCATGTCCTTGGTCATTGTTTTTGTCTCCCATAAGTAGAAGCTATAATTGACCTACAAGCAAAGTATGGCATTTTAAAATTCAGGTTATAAAATTTACCAAAAAAGAAAAAAAATTTTTTTAACAACATATTGTTTTAAAACAAAACTCTTAAATGGGGAAGGGACAGGGAGGATGTACATAGAGTAACACAGGGAAACAGACTAAAGAAATAGAGAACACAAAAGTTATAGGATGAATCCCAGAAAAGACAGATGAAATAGTTCAAAACATTGCTTCCTAGGGAGTACTTGGTGTGTTTAACAAGCTTCTCACACAGCACCATTCCACTGCAAGAACCCCAACCGTTCTCTTATCACTCTTGACCAGACAGAGCTCCCTGTTGTTTTCTACCCCCAAATAAACCTTCTCTTGGCCTTCTGAGATGGCCCAAACACTTAAGCCCCACTCTTGTGCCAACTGTAACACTCCATTCTGGAAATTAGGGGGTGCCTGCCCAAACTAACTATGAAAATACTACTTTTTCTCCTAGTATTCTAAACTCCCTTACGTCCCCAACATTGAAAAAACCACCACCAAGACCACTAAAAAAACTATTTATTACAGGGGTAATAATATGTACTATTTAAAAAAATACAGAAGAGGGAAACATTTTTTTGTAAAATTACAACCAGAGAATGTTAAATGTTTTGTTGTATACCATTTCCACAAATGTTTCTATGTTGTATGCATATATCTATATATGCTCACTTACACTAAAAAATTATTTGCATTTTTTTCTGCTAAACCCGGTATCCCTAGCCCAAGGATGATAGCTAAGTGGCATAAGTGCCACCTCAATGCCTCTCCTGTGCCCTTACACTCTTTCCTGAGCCTAAACATGGCTTCAGAAATGTCCTCCCAGCATCCCAACCTGATATTAAGATACTACCAATTGATCAGAGTTGGAACTTAAGATGAAATTTAGTAACGATCCCTCTCTGGCCTCTCCTTTTCTAATTCAATCCTTCAGACTAAACAGAAGTGAAGGCGTAATGGAAAAAATCATAAACTGATCAGAAGACTCTTCCACCAATGAGCTACACTGAACTGCTCTAGGATCATGCCCACTCACGTGACAAATAAAAGTAATGCAAAAGCAATTTCTGAGGTGGCTCGTGGGTCTATGATTCTGGTAGCCTTCCTTAGAACTGCTTTCTTCATTTCACTCTCTTGCTTAGGAACCTAAATGGCTCCCCAGTAAATCAAGTCCAAGCTTCTTTGTTAGGTATATAAGGTCTGTAGTAAATGAAGGGATCATGGCACCTTGGTAAGAGAAGCAAGCTGGGAGGTCAGAAATGTGAATCCCAGTGCTAGCTCTGCACTCAGTTAAGGTTTGGGGCCAATTGTTTAACACACCCAAATTTTAAATGGCTCTCCTGTAAAATGCAGATAACATCACTTACCCACTTCACTCGTTTGTCAAGGATTTAATGAAACGGCAAAATACTTTACAAACTTTAAAGCTCAAATTCCCGGTCTAAACCAAGTGTAATTTCCATTATCTTACAATACACAGACTTCATTCCAATCAATGCAGTCCCCTCAAAACCCTCTATATGCACTTGATCATTCACCTCAATGCCTCTGGGAAGGCCTTTCCCTTAAATAAAATGTTCTTCTCCTTACCTGAGCTTCCTTGTCCATTAGACTCCAATTCAATTATTATTTCCTTCAGAAATCTTCCAACGACTAAGTTCCTTGATCTATAAAATGGCAGATCAGGGCTAAAGGAAACTCTCCAACTCTTTACAAGTTTAAAACTTCATGACTTTTAACTATAGCCAAAGCTATTTTTTTCAAGCACCTTAATTCATTTGAAATGTTTATTATGCAACTACTATTTGCTAGGCACTGTTGTAGGCAAAGGAGATAAAGCACTAAACCAGATGATCCAAGTCCTCACTTTGACGGAGCTTTCATTCTACAAAATGTGGACTCGTGTTTGAAACCAGTCCCATTGAGAAACAGGGCATGTGCCAGAATCTAAACTAACTACAGCATTAAGCATACACTTTAGTTTACCTGACTTTTTTTTTTTTCTTCATAACAAGACGTTCTCAATGAAGGAAGCGGTACACTGATCTACCTTCTGGCACAAGCTCCTAACTCACTGCAAACAGTAACAGTTTATGTAGACTGGCTGTTTTGAGTGGCACTGATCTAAGTGATTAGCTACCACAAGGCGAGGATCTAGAAGACATTCAATAAATGCCTACTGGAAGAGTCAGTGTCAGAGTGAGGAGGTGTGAGAGCCTGGCAGCTCCTGGCTTTGGAAATGGAGGAAGGAAGCCACGATCCAAGAAATGTCGGCTTCCTCCGGGAAGGAGCTCGGCCCTGATGACACCTTGACACACTGTGACCTCTGTTTTGGACTGCTAGCTTTCAGAACTAGCAAGAAGTTTGGGCACAGAGAAGTTAAATAACTTGTTGAATATGAAACAACCAGCAAGGATGGAGACAGTATTCAGCCAAGTTCTATTTTTAGGTTTTTGAGAAACCAGCATACTCTTTTCCACAGTGGCTGCACCAATTTACGTTCCCACCAACAATATAGTCTTGGGGGAGTGTACTTTCTAAGAATTTGTCCGGGGACGAGGGGAAGATGGCGGAAGAGTAAGACGCGGAGATCACCTTCCTCCCCACAGATACACCAGAAATACATCTACACGTGGAACAACTCCTACAGAACACCTACTGAAGGCTGGCAGAAGACCTCAGACCTCCCAAAAGTTAAGAAACCCCCCAACGTACCTGGGTAGGGCAAAAGAAAAAAGAATAAACAGAGACAAAAGAATAGGGCCGGGACCTGCACCAGTGGGAGGGAGCTGTGCAGGAGGAAAGGTTTCCACACACTAGGAAGCCCCTTCGCGGGCGGAGACTGTGGGAGGCGGAGCGGGGGAGCTTCGGGGCTGCGGAGGAGAGCACAGCAACAGGGGTGCGGAGGGCAAAGCGGGGAGATTCCCGCACAGAGGATCGGTGCCAACCGGCACTCACCAGCCCGAGAGGCTTGTCTGCTCACCCGCCGGGGCGGGAGGGGCTGGGAGCTGAGACTCGGGCTTCGGTGGGAGCGCAGGCAGAGGACCGGGGTTGGCAGCGTGAACACAGCCTGAAGGGGTTAGTGCACCACAGCTAGCCGGGAGGGAGTCCGGGAAAAGGTCTGGAGCTGCCAAAGAGGCAAGAGACTTTTTCCTCCCTCTTTGTTTCTTGGTGCGCGAGGAGAGGGGATTAACAGCGCTGCTTATAGGAGCTCCAGAGACGGGCGCGAGCCGCGGCTAAAAGCGCGGACCCCAGAGACGGGCGGGAGATGCTAAGGCTGCTGCTGCGGCCACCAAGAAGCCTGTGTGCGAGCACAGGTCACTATCCACACCCGCCTTCCGGGGAGCCTGTGCAGCCCGCCACTGCCAGGTTCCCGGGATGCAGGGACAACTTCCCCGGGAGAACGCAAACACGGTGGGCCTCAGGCTGGTGCAACATCACGCTGGCCTCTGCCGCCGAAGGCTCACCCCGCACTCCGTGCCCCTCCCTCCCCCCGGCCTGAGTTAGCCAGAGCCCCCGAATCAACGGCTCCTTTAACCCCGTCCTGTCTGAGCAAAGACCAGACGCCCTCCGGCGACCTACACGCAGAGGTGGGGCCAAATCCAAAGCTGAGCCCCTGGGAGCTGTGAGAACAAAGAAGAGAAAGGGAAATCTCTCCCAGCAGCCTCAGGAGCAGCGGATTAA